CATGATATTTATATTTTCCTCTGATTTACAACTCAAATATTCTTTATTGTTTGCAAAATTACACATAGGAGGACATAAACGGTGCACTTGAAAAATTTCCATGTCCAAAGATACAATTGAAGAATCTACCTTTAATGAAATTTTGTTTAAGAAAATAAGCAGTAGATGAATTTACTTTAAGGAAGTGTTAAACTTTGTATTATTAATTAGTGGCAAATGTTGATCAGTAGAACAAAAAACTATTACCTGTGGTCATGATTGTCCATTTCATATGCTGATTCCTCCCTTACAAGGTTTAGTTCATAGCAAACTGTGCCAGGTGTGGAGGGATGTTCCAGTTGCCACAGTGGTATTACAGTGACTGAGTAGAGTCGACTATGCCATGGATAAAAAAGGAAGAACTCTTCTCTCTATTTCAGTGCTAAGAAGTGGTGGTTCTATGTTTAGCACAGTAGGTAATAAGGTGTACAGCAATGATATTGGTGCAAAACAACAAATTCGGCATCTTTTCCTCATTCACGAGTTAATTGAGAGATCATCTTGCCAAAGGAAAATGGTAGATAATTTTCCATTTTCTAATTACCCCAACTTCTTTGCCAGTATTTACCAATTTCAGTATTTGGGGTATTACCTTAAAGATTTATGCATTTCTGTCTTCTCTCTCCTATTATTTAGTTGACATTCTTCTTGAAATCACTGTACTTTTTTCTTAAATAAATGCATTTTAATATGAGATTTAACGTCTTAGGTTTGGTATGATGGTTATAGATTTTAGTACATTAAAATCAATGCATACCATTAAATTTTATGAATTCTATGTATTTTCCTCCTAAAATCCTATTGTATTTTACCAGTAGTACATGAGTCCCACTTTGTGAAATGTTGATTTATGCTAACAGTGAGAACCCCAGTTTCTTAGGTTGCGGTATTTCCTCTTGTTTTGTGTCTTCTAGTTAAATTGAGATGGAACTTTGTTGAGTTTAATATGCAAACTTATAATCTAATGGAACTTAATTTGAGACTTTTTAACTGAGACTGGTGATACCAACAAATTATCCCATTAGAAGAGTCCCCCAAAACATATCTAATCCAAGAAAGTGAGATTCAACATGACTAATTAAGGATTTTAGAACATCTCCTGAGAAGTCTTTGATAACATATATGTCTTTCGCTGTACCTGGAACACAGATGAGCTTTAAGTGTACTTAATGCAAGTCTTACCCATCAGTTTCTGGTGGCCTCAAAGATAATTCCCATACAGTTTAATATTGCAGATAGAATTTTGGAAACTATATTCAACTAAAATTAATTTGGTAAGCTTACTAGCCTCTCTGTGCCTATCCTTTCTATGATAGCAAGCCCATTGCAAATTTTCTCTCCTCCACCATCAAATTAACCCATAATGCCTTTTAACAACTTTGGATTTTTTAAGAAATCAATTTTAATTTAGACCAAAGAGTACTTAATAGAAAGTAAGCAGTTTTCATGAGAATTCTAACTTTTTTCTTCCAGAACTTGAAGAATCCAGACAGAAATGCCCACCCTGCTGGTATAAATTTGCTAACATGTGTTTGATTTGGGACTGTTGTAAACCATGGTTAAAGGTGAAACACCTTGTCAACTTGGTTGTGATGGACCCGTTTGTGGACCTGGCCATCACCATCTGCATCGTCTTAAATACACTCTTCATGGCCATGGAGCACTATCCGATGACGGAGCAGTTTAGCAATGTGCTGTCTGTCGGGAACCTGGTAAGTAAGGCTCATTGAAGGCTTCTCTTCCCATTCAAAGAGTTCGTGATTGCCTTAGTGGATTTCACATATCACTTTCAAATTAAATACAACTAATTGGCCATGTACACCTAGACAGCAAAAGTTTAGTATCCTTTTTCTAATAACAAAAATATATTGCTGGCCGGGCGCGGTGGCTCACGCCTGTAATCCTAGCACTCTGGGAGGCCGAGGTGGGTGGATCGTTTGAGCTCAGGAGTTCAAAACCAGCCTGAGCAAGAG